GAATAAAAATAAAAACATAAAAGAGTAAAAAAAAAAAAATGGGCAGAGGATCCAAACAGACACTTCTCCGAAGAAGAAATTCACATAGCCAACAGGCACACAAAAAGATGTTCTACATTACTAATCATCAGAGAAATGCAAATTAAAACCACAATGAGATATCACCTCATACCAGTTAGGATGACCAACATCCAAAAGACAAATAACAACAAATGCTGCCGAGGTTGTAGAGAACGGGGAACCCTCCTACACTGCTGGTGGGAATGTAAACTGGTTCAACCATGTGGAAAGAAGTATGGAGGTTCCTCAAAAAGCTCAAAATAGAAATACCATTTGACCCAGGAATTCCACTTCTAGGATTTTACCCTAAGAATGCAGATTCCCAGTTTGAAAAAGACATATGCACCCCTATGTTTATTGCAGCACTATTTACAATAGCCAAGAAATGGAAGCAACCCAAGTGTCCATCAGTAGATGAATGGATAAAGAAGAGGTGGTACATATACACAATGGAATATTATTCAGCCGTAAGAAAAAAAATCCTACTATTTGCAACAACATGGATGGAGCTAGAGGGTATTATGCTCAGTGAAATAAGCCAGGCGGAGAAAAACAAACACCAAATGATTTCACTCATCTGCGGAGTATAAGAACAACGAAAAAACTGAAGGAACAAAACAGCAGCACACTTACAGAAGCCAAGAATGGGCTAACAGTTACCAAAGGGAAAGGGACTGGGGAGGATGGATGGGAAGGGAGGGATAAGGGGAAAAGGGGGCAATACAATTAGCACACATAATGTAGTGGGGGTGGGACATGGGAAAGACAGTATATACAGGGAAGCCAAGTAATGATTCTAGCATCTTACTACACTGATGGACAGTGACTGTAATGGGCTATGTGGGGGGGACTTGATAATAGGGGGAGTCTAGTAACCATAATGTTGTTCAAGTAATTGTACACTGATGATAAAAAAAAAAAAAAGTTTACTGTGTGTGTTGCATAGATAAGATTAGTGGATTTTTTAACTACATGTAAATTATACATCAATTTTAAAAAGAAAACAAAATAAGAGTGTTCAACAAATGTTAGCTAAGGACAGGCACTATGCTAAGTGTTTTATATGAGGATATTAATTCATCCTCACACCCCATTAGGGAGACACTACCATTGTCCCCATTGACAAACCAGGAGACCAAGGTTTACATGTGTAAAGAAAGAAGCACAGAGATACTAGTAGCAGAGACGAGAGTCAACCTCCCATCTCTCTGATGTTAACAGCCAAGCTATTAACAACTATGCAATACTACTGACCTCTCCAGAAAACAGAAAGCAGAGACAGAAAAAAGACCAAAAAAAGGTAAACTTATAGGTAATATCAAAGGACAGAAGTACATGCTCTTCGTAACAGTGACCTTAAGGTATCAAGAAAATACTGAATATTTTATACTATCTTTTTGCTTAGAAATATCTGCTTAAGAAATCATATATATGTATATATACATATTAAACTCGGTGGTTGAGAAATTTTATCTAAGTTGAATTAAACTAATTAGATATTGCTAAGGAGCATAAAATACATTTTTAACTGTAAATGAATGCTATTCTTGCACAATTCCCTGTTAGCAATTATACTTATGGACTTGAAATAGCAAGGATAAAAAGACTATATTGTAACTTCTTTCAAAATATTGTCATGCTCTATGAATTCTGATTGGCCTACCTTTTAATTAGCAAGTTCTATAGAACATTAAAATGTGGTGAACCACCAGATTAAATCTGCCACAAGCTGATAACTTCCGAAAAATACAATAATGTTGTACTATTACATACCCACAATAATGTAAAAACCTTATTTTTGTAAATAAAAATAAATTGCTAGAAAGGTGGAAGGAAAAACAGATCAAATAAGGCCCAATTCAGATTTCTCAGAAATAGCCTGAAATAATAAATTATTATAAAGACTTTAAAATCTTTCTCTCAGCTCCCATACTTATCACAGGTTGGCAACAAAAAGTTCACAAACCAGGAGACCAATTCTTTACATGCCTTACTTGGAGAAACAATGCTTTAGATAAATCAAGTTTTTGGCATGTGTGACTGAGCAGATTCAAATTTCACAAACCTCAACTATTTACAGTGATGTCCTGTTTTTCTGGAGAATTACTGGCTTTTGCTCCTGGGACCAGAAGTAATCAACTTATTAAAGAAGAAGATGCTTTAAGAACTATAAACCCAGGTATGGAGCTAGCAACACTTGCCCTGGGTTTTGGTCTCTGTGTTTATCAATGCAAACCCTCTTTTACATCTACAGTGTTTCATGGGTCCTGATTGGCTTTACTGCAATGTGTGAAATGCATCCTGATTGCAGGACCTTGTGTTATAAACTTTAAGAATTACATTATTGTAAAGGATTACCAATATAAAGAAGAGTTCTGTAGAACAAAATTATCACGGTGTATCAATGTGCCTCTGACTCAGACACCACAGACAAAAGCATTTCTTCTAAAGGAAATACATGGTTACTGTAATTTTATAGGTTGAGAAGCAAATGAAGCATTCTCCAGCTTCGAAAATAACCATGGCTTCCTACCCACCGCATGTAACAGATACTCACGATGATCTATGTGCTAGGGAGAAACGGAGATGCCAGGTCCACAGAATTTCTTCTAATTTGCTAAACTACTAATAGACAGTCTTCACTGAGCTGAAATGAACTCTGCAGAGTATGTAACTTAACTCTGCAGACTGTCCTAGCAAATCTCTATTTCATGGAGCCCACGGACTGTCCTATGGAGTACTTGAGGAGGAGATTCTGCCTAAGGTTAGGGAGATCCACCCAAAGCTTGTTTGCAATGAAGTCAGATTCATAACCTTACATTTGAAAGGCAATCAGACCCTGGAAGTATATGCAACAATCCTAAAACTATCAACTAATTTGTAAGCAGAAGAATAATGCAGTATTTGAAATGATCAATATAGGATGCAAAGAGTAAAACTGCTTCACGCATTTATTACCCATTAAATACCATACAAATATTTAGATTATATAGCTAAGTATTTTGAAAGGCATGTAGAGAAGCTTTTACATTGATTTAAAGAAAAACAAACCTAAGTTTTTCCCAAAATACCTTTAACACAATCACTTATAAAGTCTGAGATGAGGATGAAGGTGTCATCCATTTATGTAAAGACATCCCCTGCCTCCAACCTCTGTGACAGGGACATTTGGTGTTTCTAGTAGTTGCTACCTTACCAACCTCACCATCTATACTGGCTGTGTCTCTAGGAAAAAGAGGTTCGTTCTCATCCCGGGAAGTGACTACTGACTGTGGGGAAATCTTACTTACTAACTCCTCAGGACCCAAAACTCTCAGTGGTAGCTTTGACACCTTAACTCCAGGACTCTTATCTGATCAAACTGCTCAGTTTCCTTCCGTGGCAGTGGTTCTCATGTGGACCAATTCGCCACCACCATCACCAGGGGCAGCTGGAGATGGCTGGAGACATTTTTGGTTCTCATGATTCACTTTGTGAGGGCAGAGGTCTAACAGGCATCTGGTGGGCAGACGTCAGGGACGCACCTGAACATCCCACAATACACAGGACAGTCCCCACACAGAATGCCATCTACAGCATTGTTTGCACCCACCCTGAAATGATTACTCACCAGATACTCTTTTTTCAGAAACAACTACACCAAGATATTTCTGGCAAGAGCCCGATTAAATGAATCCACCATATCATTCTTATATTTACCTGAAAGGAATATAGGATGTATCTCCAAACATTAATATTCTATATGTTTCTTCTGGAGTTCTCCCCAAATATATAACCTACATTTGAAAAGAAAAGAAAAAGGAATTTACTTCTAAATGAAGATATGGTGCTGGCCCTGCAAGTTTTTATACAATTTCTCACCAGTCAATTGAGGCTGGTTCCCCAGCCCTCCCAAGGAGCCCAAAGGCTGCCTGGCACCCCGTCAGTGAGCTCCCGCTTTGTGGAAATCTGCCACAGCAGCTCTCTGATACCTGCAGTGACAGCCCTGGCCCCAAACTTCACAACCACCTTTTGTGGTAAGAAGTACAGAATTTTAAAAGTCACATATGCTTTTACCTCACCTGCTTCCTGAAAATAGCTGAAATGACAGTGAAGAAGTATGTAGGGGATGGACTGGGACTGGGGCTGGCCTGAGGTGGGAAGATGCATAAAAGCAGAACAAAGGTTTTGATTAACTCCATCCATTTAGATTTAACTACTTATAATAAATATTGCCCAGGTTTCCTATAAAACTGCATTTGTGTCCCAGTCTCATTTGCTTCATTTATCTTCAGAACAACATTATGCTTCAGTTTTCATCTTCGAGGAGATTCTTTGGCATTTGAGGCCCGTGGCTGGTATTCCTTTCATTTCCCCAAGTTTGTTTTCTGCCCAGACATTTACTGACTGTATGTGGTCTCTGACTGGCAGGCCCCTCAACAGCTGACAGATGTCCACCGCCTTCTCATCTCTGGCGGTGCACGTGTATTTTACTGGGCTCATCTCCTCCTACCCCTTCTTATAAGTAACCCATTCAGCAATTTCACTGGCATCCCTCTAAGTTTGCTGGGACTTTCTGACCCTCATTCTGTCTGAAGGCACAAGTTTTCTCCCACCTCAGAAGCTCCCTGCAGGTCAGGGCACTTTCAACTCACATATGAAGGGATGGGAGGGGAGGCATGTGCATTAGATAGGGCACATGGATCACCAAACTGAGATTAAATTCTAAAGCACACTTGGGGGTAATGAACTTTGCATTTTGACTAGTAAAAAGAAATCTCTAAAAAAGTTAAAGTACAAGCTTTTTCTCTCCACTACTACTTATAGCAGCTGTTTCCTTAACGAAACTGAGCACTCTAAAAATTCCTGGTACATATGTTATATATAGGTCCTGATTCAATGTTTAATTCACTGAACCTAAACCAACTTATAATAGTTGGGAAATTTTTAAATAACTGATAAAAGCTTGACATAAATATAAAAATATCACTGGACTAAGAGAAATTATAGAAATAAAAGGTCCAGGAGTGGATTCAAGATGGCAGCATAAGAGGTAAGATGGAGAACTCCTCCCAAAACAACAAATAGTATAACATGTAGTTAATTGATACAACTAACCTTAAAACAGCAACAGGAAAGAAGGCTGAACCAGACTGCATACAGACCTCATGAACAGAGCAGACCTCACGGAACAGGGTAATGGACCAAAGCCTTAATCCAGTGAGACCCAATCCCTTCCCCTACCCCAGCTCACTGGTGGGAGGAAGAGAAACGGAGCAGGGGAAGGGGTGGAAGCCTGGGACTGCTGAACACCCAGCCCTTGAGATCTGCTTTGGGAGCAGAAACCTACACTGTATGGTGCTTTGGAGGTTGGGGAGCTCAGACAGGTGGAGTGTTTGAGAGACAGATTCTGACCATTTGTGGAGGACGGGATCCACATCCAATCACTCTGTGTCAGAGGAAAGGCAGGCAGTCTGAGAGGCTACCTATCTGCAAGAGGGCTGCTGAAGGGACAGGGTTTGCACAGAGCTTGCTGGGCACGGGAGGGGAGAGCTGGACAAGGTTGTCTGGGCACGCTCTGCTCAGCTGGTTGGGAACTTTGAGGAACTTCAGGCGCCCCATCCCTCTGGCTGCCTACTCAGCTCTGAGGCCCCCCACTGTGATACACAGCCTGCTGCGCCTCCCTCCTACCCTGCCGGCACTGTTTTGCAAACCTGCAGTCACTGTGCTGGTGTCAGGCCAGCCAGAGAGAGGCCACGCCTACAACAGCTAGAGATGCAAAGCACAGAGGCTTACCTGTGCACTTCGCCCACTGGCTCTGACACCAGAGACAGGCACCACAGACAGAAATCAGGAAACAGATATTTCTTCCCCCTCAGGCACCAGCTCCGCTCCCCTGTAACCCCCAACCTCACTCTAGTGGCTGAGCAGTTCAAGAGCCTGGAGCTTCTGGGCACTAGTGAGCACCACACAGAATTATGAAATGTCAAAAGAACATGGTTCAGACCAAAATCTCACAAACCCCAGAAAGAGGGTCAAATGAAACTGAACTCACCAATCTGCCTGAAAGAGAGTTCAAAATAAAAATCAAAAACATGCTTATGGAGGTACAGAAAAATATTTAAGAACTCAGGAATGAATTTAAGTCAGAGATTCGATCATAAAGAAATTCCATATCTGAAATGAAACATACAATGGAGGGATTTAAAAGCAGATTAGATGTAGTAGAAGAGACGGTAAATGGAATAGAAATTAGAGAAGAGAAATACAAAGTAGCTGAGGAACAGACAGAAAAAAGAATCTCTTAAAGAATGAAAGAATATTGAGAGAACTGTGTGACCAATCCAAACAGAACACTATTCACATTATAGGGGTTCCAGAAGAAGAACAGTGAGAAAAAGGGACAGAAAGTGTCACTGAGGAGGTAATTGCTGAAAACTTCCCCAATCTGGGGAAGGAGATAGTCTCTCAAGCCATGGAGGTGCACAGATCTTCCAACACAAGGGACCCAAGGAAGACATCAAGACACATAATAATTAAAATGGCAAAGATCAAGGATAAAGACAGACTTTTAAAAGCAGCTAGAGAGAGAAAAAACGTAACATACGAAGGAAAACCCATCAAGCTATCATCAGACTTCTTAACAGAAATTTTACAGGCCAGAAGGGAGTGGCATGATATATTTAATGCAGTGAAGCAGAAGGGCCTTTAACCAAGAATACTTTACCCAGCAAGGTTATCATTTAAATTTGAAGGAGGGATTAAACAATTTTCAGATAAGCAAAAGCTGAGAGAATTTACCTCCCACAAACCACCTCTACAGTGCATTTTAGAGGAACTCCTATAGATGGAAGTATTCCTAAGGCTAAATAGATGTAAACCAAGGGATAGACAAAGAGTACAGAAAATATGATTCAAAACATACCAAGAATGGAGGATGAAGTAAAAGGAGGGAAAAAAAAAAAGAACCTATAGGTTGTGTTTGTAATAGCACATGAAGTGAGTTAAATTAGACTGTTAGTAAGCGAATTACCCTTGAACCTTTGGTAACCAGTAATCCAAAGCCTGCAATGGCAATAAGTACATACCTATCAATAATCACCCTAAATGTAAAAGGTCTGAATGCATGAATCAAAAGACACAGAGTCACTGAATGGCTAAAAAAAATAAGACCTGTCTATATGCTGCAAACCCAAAGACATATACAGACTGAGAATAAAGGATTGGAAAAAGATATTTCATGCAACTAATAGAGAGAAAAAAGCAGGAGTTGCAGTACTTGTATCAGACAAAATAGACTTCAAAACAAAGAAAGTAACAAGAGACACAGAAGGACATTACATAATGATAAAGGGGTCAGTCCAACAATAGGATATAACTATTATAAATATCTATGCACCCAACAAAGGATCACCTACATATGTGAAACAAATACTAACAGAATTAAAGGGGGAACTAGACTGCAATGCACTCATTTTAGGAGACTTCAACACACCACTCACTCCAAAGGACAGATCAACCAGACGGAAAATAAGTAAAGAGACAGAGACACTGAACAACACACCAGAACAGATGGACCTAATGGACATCTACAGAACACTCCATCCAAAAGCAGCAGGATATACATTCTTCTCAAGTGCACATAGAACATTTTCAAGAATAGATCATATACTAGGCAATGAAAAGAATATCAGTAAATTCAAAAATATTGAAATTGTACCAACCAGCTTCTCAGATCAAAAAGGTATGAAACTATAAATAAATTACACACAAAAAATGAAAAATCCCACAAACATATGGAGGCTTCACAACATGCTCCTAAATAACCAATGGATCAATGACCAAATAAAAACACAGATCAAGCAATATATGAAGACAAATGACAACAATAATTCAACAGTGCAAAATCTGTGGGACACAGCCAAGAACGTGCTAAGAAGAAAGTATATTGCAATACAGGCCTACCTCAGGAAAGAACAATCCCATATGAACAGTCCAAACTCACAATTAATGAAACTAGAAAAGGAAGAACAAATGAGACCCAAAGTCAACAGAAGGAGGGACATAATAAAGTTTAAAGCAGAAATAAATAAAATTGAGAAGAATGAAACAATAGAAAGAATCAATGAAAACAAGAGCTGGCTCTTCGAGAAAATAACAAAATAAACCCCTAGTCAGACTTATCAAGAAAAAAAGAGAGTCTACACATATAAACACAATCAGAAATGAGAAAGGAAAACTCACTACGGACACCACAGAAATACAAAGAATTATGAGAGAATACTATGAAACATTATATGGCAACAAACTGCATAACCTAGAAGAAATGGACAACTTTCTAGAAAAGAACAACCTTCCAAGGCTGACGCAGGAAGAAACAAAATCTGAATAGACCAATTACCAGCAAAGAAATTGAATTGGTAATCAATAAACTACTAAGAAAAAAACCTCTGTACCAGATGATATCACTGATGAATTTTATCAAACATTTAGTTAAGATCTAATACCATTCTCTTTAAAGTTTTCCAAAAAGTAGAAGAGGAGGGAATACTCTCAAACTCATTCTACAAGGCCAACATCACTCTAATTCCAAAACCAGGCAAAGACACCACAAAAAAAGAAAATTACAGACTAATTTTCCAGGACATTTCCCTGATGAACATAGATACAAAAATACTCAACAAAATATTAGCAAACCAAATTCAAAAATACATCAAAAAGATCATCCATCATGATCAAGTGGGATTCATCCCAGGGATGCAAGGATGGTACAACATTCGAAAACCCATCAACAGCA